GCGTAGGCGTAGCTCACTTACAGCGGGTTTTATAGAAAACCAGGCTTTGCTTGGAGCAGCATTCCCGTGCGGAAAAGCTCTTCTTCTCGGAGCCGTCGTGCACGCAGGGGCTTCCGCCTCGTGCTAAGGAGGTTCCCTAGGCTTTTCAGGGCTAGAGAGAGGTTCTAGAGAGAGAGTAAAAAGAAGAAAGAATGAGAAAGGTGTGAAGAAAATGAGGGTGGGAGAGGTTCTATTTATAGGGTGAAAATGGCTGAACTTGGTGCCACATGTCACCATCTAGTGGCAAGACTTTGGGAGAAAGCAATGGCCAAGATTGTGCCACATCAACCATTTTCGCACAGCACACTTCCGACTTCTAAAATCCGTAACTTTCACATACGAACTCCGTTTTTGACGTTCTATATATCCACGCGTAGGTAAAAATAATATCTAGAACTTTCATTTTGACTCCGTTGGCTGATTCTCGACCGATCTTAAATTTAAGAGTACTAGGCGTTTAGACTGTTAAATGACCGCGAAGAATTCGTAACTCCTTCATACGGACTCTGTTTTCATCTGTCTTTTTACTATTAAGTTCCTATTAATGAGATCTTCAACTCTCATTTAAGTCACGTAAGCCAAAAACCACTCGAACTAAAATTCGAGTTTCGGGTCGTGCACTGCTAAGCCGAATCTTAGAAAAATCATAACTTCCTCATACGAAGTCAGATTTGGGCGTTCTTTTTATGGATTTTCTCAGTTTAACATATTATACGACTTTCATTTAGATCACTAAGGATAAAAAGCACTCCATCGTAAAATCACTATTTACGCTTCCCGGTGCCGTGTCGGTTCCGTCGCGAAACTTCAACGGGTCATAACTTCTTCTTTATAACTCCGATTTCGACTCTCTTTATATGTATGGAAACCTTGTGACATATTATATAACTTGGTTAAGATTATTTATTCTAAATAATCTTTTGTCGAAAAGTTATTTTCGACCCCTATTACCTCTAAATTGACTAGCCCGGATCTACGGGCGTTACAATTATCTACCCCTTAGGATGATTACGTCCCGGAATCATCAACGAAACAAGGCTCGTATAACGACTCCATATGTCATCTCTTCATCCTAGGTAATAATTGTAACTTCTATATTCCTTTAAGTATATCTCTTAGACTCATTGACTGTAAGTGGTACTCGATCGTGCACCTGCTCTCTACCTCAGGCTAGACTCCAAATTATGACCTTCAAGTCACAATCTCGATCCTTAATGGATACGAACTTGAGATAAGTTCTTTTATTACTTCTATGGATCTATGTGTCATATTCTAATGACCTATCATCGTATGTTGCAACGCTTTAGACTTAGGTCTCTTAGAGTCAAACTCCAAAATAGAGTATACCTTCCTTCATGTTCTAATGTGATACAATCACATTTCAATATGTAGCATTTCTAGCTACCAACTTCTTTAACAATCATCGCGATACTTCTACTGATCGCCCTGGGTTAGCTTTCATTTCAATCTTTTGGTTTAAGTTAGATACTACATCGAACTTGGTTCTCTGAACCACGTAACATACTCATCGTATTCGGACTATATTTGATATGACCACTAGGGTCAGAATAACAACAATCTTCTTAGTTATTACCGAAACGATGGTAACAACATGCTTGAATAAAACAGACTCAATTATTGGCTTCTTGGTAACCTTGTGACTTTCCCTAATCCAAGCATGAGTCATGTGCTTCCGGTAGTATATGCATCTACTACCTTTCACACCTACTCATACTCGTCCCAAGTATTGTCTCGCAGTTTTCCAAGTCACCATACAGGAAAAATCACATAACAGTTTAACACATCAGATAACAAAACAAGGGCTTTATTATTTCTCGAAACTATTACATAGGTGTTCAAGTTCACCCTAGACTATACCTCTAAGAGGCTACATCATGTGGTTTTATCTATTAGGCTACCTCGTAACTCGATCTTTGGGTATAGATTCCTTATCCTTGGTTTCTAGCGTTGTTTTCCGCTTCGTCGAGGATTATGTGGAATGCCCTTGGCCTTGGTGGCGTTTCTGGTCTACTTGCTGCTTTATTTTTCCTCGGGCAGTCTCTGGACATGTGCCCCTTTCCTCCACATATGTAGCATACTTTATCATTATGTTTGCAATCCTTGGAATAGTGACCAGTCCTTCCACACTTGTAACAAGTTACTTCTTCGTTGCACTTCCCACAATGCTTCTTCTTGCATTTATCACACCATCTCGCTTCACCTCCATTTTCTCCTCCAAGCTTTGAGAATTTAGTTTCCTTGTTGGACCTTGAAGGTCCTTCAAAATTCCGCTTCTCTCCTACCTTATCTTTTTCTAGACCCTTTTCTCTTATCTGGGCCTCTACATTCTTAGCTGCCCTAACAGGTGTTTTCAAGGTAGTTGCCATTTTGACCATTGGGCCAAAGTCTGTGGGTAATCCGTTAGCAAACCTATCAATCTTGGAGATTTCAGTAGGCACCACTACTAGAAAAACAGCCTTTCACGACGCGCAATCAATGACACGCGCTGATAGAGGATGGGCATTTGTGCGTGCCCTAAAAATTGATGTTAGTTTTCCAAAATATGAAGCATAGAGGGCACGCATTTTTGCGTGCCCTTAAATTAGTGTCTAATAAAAATAAAAATAAAAGCACGGAGGGCACCTTAAATAAAATGTGCGCCGTCTAACCATGTCGTTTTATAAATTTTAATGAAACGCGCGTTGCATCTCTCATGGGGGGAAATGAAATCCAAAAAATTAAAAACCCCGCTTTGTTTCCACCGGCTGAAAACCCTAGCTCGTCCCTGTTGAAAACCCGCTTTCTTTCTTTCTTCTCTCTTGATTCTCAAACATCCACCGCTTCACTTCTCCACAATGTGCTCAAAGTAGCCGCTCAAGTACCCGACAGTGGTCCATGTGTCACATACATCGGCGAAGGCGGTTCCGGCAATTTCGTCAAAATGGTCCACAACGGAATCGAGTATGGTGACATGTAGCTGATTTCCGAAGCATACGACATGTTGAATCCATTGGGAAACTCTTGAACAAGGAACTACACAAAGTGTTCTCCGAATGGAATCTGGGGGATCTTCAAAGCTTCTTGATTGAAATCACCGAGACATCTTCGAAATCAAGGATGACAAGGGAGACGAATATCTATTCGACAAAGTGTTGGATAAAACAGGCATGGAAGAGACCGGAAAATGGACCGTCCAACAAGCAGCGGATCTATCAATCGTTTCCACCACAATCGCGGCGTCTCTGGATTCGTGATTCCTAAGCAGATTAAAAGAGGAACGTGTTGAAGCTGCTAAGATCTTTAAATACGGTGGGTTCGGTGATATTTTGGGCACTCAAAATGTGGATACACAATAAACTGGTTCTTTCACGCCCTCAACAAACATTCTATCGGGTTCGTAATTCCTTTCCAAATCTGGGGTGTTAATCTTTAAATCTCAATCTTTAATTCGGAATTACGAAATTGAAATTGTGCATATTCTTTTTATGCACAGACATAACTACTTCGAAATTGACCTAGATATACATCGATTCAGCTACATCTCTCGGAAAGCACTTGATGCATTCCAGGGACGATTGAAACATGGGATTCTTGGCATTGGTTTAACGATTCAGGTAAATTGTGTTTCTGGTTTTTGAATATGGAATTGGATTTTGTGTTGTGATTCATAAACTGAATATATGTATTTGATTGGATTCTCAATTTTTAGGCATGACATCCTGAAGAACTACCCGAGCAAGTTTTATGCTGTGTTAGGCTTAACAAGATCGACATTTCTGATCATGGTCAAATCCCAAAAATTTTAATACCAAATAGTGATTAATGCTACAGAAAAATGAGAATGGCTGTGGAGTATTTTGAATTGAGTAGAAAAGGTGCAGCCCTCATGGATATATTAGCAGAAATGCCAAAGTTCCCTGAACGTGAGGTATATTTAGTTTAGGGTTTTAATTGATCTATTGGTTTAATAGTTGACCACATCTTAGATAATTGATATTGACTTTGATTATCTATTTGAAGTTCTCATTGATTAAGAAAGCAAAAGACACTGAAGTTGATACGGCAGAGCTAAGCTGATACTGCAGAGCTAAGTCCTCATTAATACTCCACAACTTAGTATGGTTAAAATCCCCACCGTTGACCATAATTCTGTGAATGTCTTGGAAAAGGACTATTATACCCTTTCTGTAGGTAGGAAGCTAATCATTTTGCAGATCTTATGTTATGGTGCCCTGGATTCTACAGAACCAAGGGCAGAAATAGAAAATCGTGAAGAATTTGAAGTGGGACCAGATCCTGATGCAGTTATTGCATTCACTGAACCTGTAAAAGACACACCTATAAAAAGACGAGGTCTCCCTCCTAAAACCCCTTTACCCAAAGATCAAGAACCTGTAAAAGATATTCCTATTCCTAGTATTTAAAACCAGAACCTCTACTCAATCCTCCAGGATTACGCATAACCTAGTAACACAAAACCAAAAAACTTATCTTTTTATGATTTTCCCAAAATACCCTTTAATTAATTAACTAATTAATGATGTTAAATTCGGAAGCTAACCTTGCAGAAAGGGATATTACCACAGATGATGCTTAAGCATGCTGCTCGACTAGGTAAAACTTTTTTGAATCAATAGTGTTAAAAATCATATACCCAATTCTTTTTTTTTCATTTCTAATGCTAGATGTATGAGAAACAGAAGAGTTCACTGTTTTAGCAATTTGGGTATCTGAAATTCTTGAAGTTTGTTGTGATTTCAATCTAGATTCTTGTAATGAGGTCATCTGATTTATTCTTTCATGTTTTTCTTCTCTTCTATCTGTTCTTGAAGTATCTAAATGCACTTCTTGTTTTTCATTTCTGATGTTAGATTGCATATGTGAAACATAAGAGTTCTCAATTTTAGCAATTTGGGTATCTGAAATTTGTTGTGATTTTACTCTAGATTCTTGTAATGAGTTCATCTGATTGATGGTTTCACTGGCACTGCATGTCCACTTGGAGCTAAAGGCATATTAAGTTCTGCATCCAGATCAGGTTCATTATCAGGTTGAATATATGAAGGTACCCCTTCACCTTCAGTTTCTTGACCCATGTCTGCCTCCAAAGCATCAAGTTCTTAAACATTTCCATGAAGTGAAGTTAACATTTAAAAAAAGAAAAATAATAATAATGAATTTGTGCTTACCACCCATGAGATCATCTTCATCAATATCATCTGGCACACTAAACTTCTACCAAGAGATTCTTGTATCTCACTGCTTATATCCATCATGTCCATCATTTCATCTTGAAAATTCTAAACATAAAAACAAGATTAAATGATCTGTAATTACAAAGTATCAAAAGAAAGATATTCATAATATTTATACTAACATCAATGTCTTGTATCTTCACAGTTTTCATCATTCCTTTCAACTCTTTGTTTGATCCCGTTTGTAGCAAATGCTTGATATCTGTAAGAAGCTGAGGTAAAACTATGCTTCTCTTCCCAAAGATGAGGTCAACAAGCATCATAACTTTTATTCTGATCTTCTCAGGTATTATGCCATGAATGATAATCTTTTACCTAGAATATTAATAGCAGTATATAATTCCTTTACATTTTGAAAAAAATAAAGTATGGTTAATTTAATTTATCATCTAATTCAAGTATTTGAATTTTGATGTGATATGCTGCAGGGAGGACATAAGCATGACAGTTAGGCTTGTGGTAAGCTACAATGGACTTAAAATCAGTACATATAGAGAGTAAGTCTGATTTCAATCACAAATCTAATAAAAAATCATTTTTTGTAAAAAAAAAAAAAAAAGATGAAAATTTTTGTTTTTGTTTCTCACAATGCTTTTGAGAAGTCACTTCGAGCCCAATTAATTAAGGTGAAACAATATTCCAGTAGATGTTTTTTTTAATAAATTATAACCATTGACTTTAATTTGGGTCTAAATGATTTCTGAAATAAAATTAGAATCCTAATTCACATTGGGCAGTTTAATATGATGTTCTATGTACACAAAGAAAGGTGGATTAAACAAAAGGATCAAACCTTCTACTTGTGAAGTCTTAGGTGGCTGCTGAGTTGACGCCATGTCATCTTTTTCCTTTGTCTGCTGTCCAACTTCGGATGCTGATTTGGCCACTTTACTAAAAGTGTTTGTCACTCATGAAGCAGCGGCTGCATACGCTGACTTGGTCTATGCAGAAATCTGAAGCTTCTAGTCGACCTCTTTGACTTTTTAGTTGACCATGGAGGTTCCTGTAGTCACCTTCTTAGTTAATCCTATTTTCTCATCGAATGATTTGGCTTTGGAAACAACATCTTTTCCCAGGATAAAACCCTTTAAAAGCATGTTGCTGATTACATCTTGCTCATAACAGATTCCTCACCTTCTGTAACTCCACGTGCCTGTAAAATGTAAAATTTTTATTTATGATTATTAATAATGGAAATAATTATATTAAAAAATAGATTTCTTACTGTTGATGTGCCATCTAGTGGGAGATGATAGTTTGGTGCTAGGGTTACAGTGACAGTCATGTCGACTATTGTTGCTCCCTTATGCAAAACCTTTTTAGCTCAATGTAATTGAATGTGTTTATGACTTTTTGATTATTTGATGAATCAGGCACCAAATAGAGCATATGCTTCAAGTGGTGATACGAATTCCTTTCAGGATGAACAAAGTTCTTTACATTGTGCATATCAGATACCAAATAATATGGAAGCAGAATCTATTGGAGAATATGAAAAGCAGCTGCACTTTGACATGACAGAACTATCAAACAAACCAAAAAAGAAAAAGAAGGTGTTATTACTAATCTCTTTAACTACCCTTTAAATTTCATACTTATTGCAGTGACTGATGTTGATGACAAAACTTGGTTTGTGAAAAGGTGTTATTACTAATCTCTTTAACTACCCTTTAAATTTCATACTTATTGTAGCAAATATTTCTATTTATTATTTTTCCATTTTATCAACTGATACAGGAATTTTGAAAGATTACACAGGTATCTTAAGGAGATTCCTAATTACACATTACATTTGTCCCCTAAAAGAATATTCTATCAAGCACAGAAGATGCATTTGTTCACCAATGATGTAGACAACATGATAAATATTTCAGAGTATGCTCCTACATTTATCTTTATATTGAAAAAATCATTATATTTTGACCAATTTTGCTGTTAAACCACTTATACTTTATATTTTTCCTGTCAAACCATAAAAGTTACAAACATTTTTCCAATTTAACCATTGTGACATGTTACAAACCATAAAAGTTACAAACATCTTTACACGTCCCAATTTCAATTCGTTTATTTAAAAATTGATCATTTTAGTTTTAGATTTTATTGATAACAGGTGAGACATGTGATATAGAAAGAATCAGCTAATAAAAATTAGATATTCACCTCTTTTTCTATATTTTGTACGATAATAACATACAAATTTTGTATATTTGGCAGAAACTTTGACCAGGACTTGTTTTCAATCTCTTGTGTGTGCAAATGATGTAACTACCTCTAGAAAGTTTTCTAAGAAAAATAAATTGGAAGCAAGCATACCAGATCAGCATCAGGATCTGAGGAAGGCATCATGATATTAACTTCAGTTGCTTTAGTAGTTGTTATAGAAGTTTTGCCTTTTCTATTCAAAATTATAACTTAAAAACACCACCTGTTCCCTCTTTTCTAGCTTGTATTACTGTTGCTGGCTTCCAAACGAGGCCTTAATTGTCATAAACATTCTACTGTTAGATTTGGCCCTAATTTCTTTAATAGTCAACGATAGTGGGGTAGCATATTGAACTACTTGCTTAAGAAAGACATTATATCTTGTCCAATTTATATTTGAATTCAAGTTATGCATAATGTCAATATTGTTGGATTAATAAATACATTATACCTAAAGAATAAAGATTGTATGATGAAAGAAAGATTATAAATTACCAACTATTGGTTTATCATTTGCTGAGTTAACCTACATTTTTTTTCTGTAGTTTTATCTTGTTTCTGATATAGCTGTGAAAGAACTCATTGCAGTTGCCACCAACAGAGAAGGTAAGCTATAATATGCCAAAGTTGAATTACTTTTTAAGAAATAGCAACCTACTTTTAGTTATTTGTGTATTATAATATAAAACTATAAAAAATTTAATTTTTTGATATACATTTTTTATTTTGTTTCCAGAGGATACTAAAGAGCAAATCTTGCAAAGGATATTTTTTGTTTTGTTTTGCAAAGGATACCCCTCACATTTTCCCAAATTACCCCTTCCTCTACAATGTTTTTTTGTTTCTGTGTATTTTGTGCATCAGGTAAAGTTGGTGGAAGAAACGAATATGAAGCCACTTGATTCAAATCTTGCAACACTAGTCTTAAAGAATTATGAAAGGCAAGATGCAACTTTACTTAGCTGGAATTTGATGTAGAGAGTAGATTAGATGCAAATTTAGATATTGTAAAAAATAGAATTGTATGACATTAAATTTTATGCAATGGATTGTATTTTTTGTATATGATATTTTATTTCTATTATGAGACATTAAATGCAAATTTAATTTAAAAATTAATAAATATATAAATATTTTTTTAGAACATTTAAAATTATGATACGCAAAAATGTGTGTCATCTTCATTTATGACATGGCCTTTCTTGACAGGGACTTCCTTGATACGCATTGCGTGTCATAAACACGCGCATCGTAAGGTTACGGCACGCAAATGCGTGTCGTCTACCTTTATGACAGGGCCTTCCTTGATACGCAATGCGTGTCATAACCGCGCGTCGTAAATGCGCGTCATAAATGCGCGTCGTCTCTCTTTATGACAGGGCCTTCCTTGACACGCATTTGCGCGTCGTCTGAGCGTTTTACGACGCGCAATGAGCGTCGTAAAAGGCCTTTTTTCTAGTAGTGCACCAAGTAGGGGAATAGCTTCATCCTCTCGGTGAATGCGGTGGCATACTCATCAACACTCATCTTCCCTTTCTTCAGGTTCTGAAACTCGTTGTTTAGGTCTATCATATCTATCTCCGAGCAGTACTGCATTTTCAACTGTTCCAAGAACTCTTCCCACGACATCCTTAAGGCTTCTCCTCATGGCATCGTATCTGCCAATAGTTTCCACCAGCTCAAGACTCCAGTTTTTAGTTGTTTTACAGCGAAGACGGTTTTCTGTTTCTCGCTACAGTCGCAACTCTCAAACACCATCTCCATCTCGGAGATCCAATCCATAATCTCAACCGGCTTTGGGCTTCCTGAGAGACTCAGTGGTTTCGCACCCAGGAAATTCTTGTACATTCGCCCATCCTTGTAGTTTCTCCCCTCCGGGCCTTCCCTTCGTTCACGTTGAGTCCCCACTTGACTCGCTTGGTGGCTGTAGTTCCCTTCCTCAGATTGTTCGGGAATTGGCTCGGTCGGCTCAACATGTATGGTAGGTTCGTCCCTATTTTCGTGGAACATCTGTCTCATTTCTTCCCTTTGTTCAGCTAACATAGCCCGAATCATGGCTTGAACTCCAGCCATGCTGACTGGCTCAGGTGCAACTTCTTCTACAACAGGTATTTGCTGAACCACTAAGGGTTGAGGGTGTTGGTTCCTATTTCCATTTGTGTTTACGTTTCCACTATGGGTCCTTGCCATCTTGATCTATACACCAAATAAGGTGAATCTAGATCTTTATTTAGGATTGACGTTTAAATCATCCATATCACTCCGAAACATTTATATGCTAGTTCTAATATCGTATTCGTACATTTAGAATCCTAAAAACATAAGGTTTCCAGATCCGGTCGGCAACAGACCATAGATCCGCTCAAATTGTAGCATAACAAATCATTTAGCACGTAAAAGCAATTTAGGCATCATTCCTAAAATAAGCTAGTTCTCACACCTCACAATCATCGCTTAGAATTCTAAGTTTAAGTCTAGAAACTTCCTACAAATTCCTAGTTCGCTTAAACTAATGCTCTGATACCAACTGTGACATCCCCATTTTCACGGCCAAAAAAGACCGATTTTGTTTATGCTTTATAAAAATCAGAGTACTTCTTTTCATAAAAATGTTGTGGAATTTGTTCCCAGAAAAACACGATAAATACGTTATTAAAGCATTTTCGAAGAAACGTATTTTATTCATTTTAAAACGTTTGGGATGTCATCGTCAATACAGGAACATAAGCATAAACACAACTTACATTTATTTACACTAGTGATCTACATCTCTTTAATCTCTCAGTGTAATGTGACTTCATATCAACACCTGTGATATAAATAAACTAAGTGGGTCAGGTTGGGAAACCTGGTGAGTACATAGGGTTTTCAACCCACAAAAATATAATTATTATGTTTAAACAATCAAACAATCAACCCAATTACCCATCCCCATTATCTTCTTTACTCTTAAGGATTTATCCTAAGAGTCATCTATTCTGCATTAGTTTATTCCGAAGTCCCTTACTTACAGGGTTATAGGACTGACACTAAATCCATAGCTATCAATGTTCATTCA